CACTATAAAAAAAAACAAACTCCTTTGCTAGACCATCAAGTTCATTAGGGATGTGTTCTATTCCCATACAACTGCAGACAACAATGTCACTATGCTTTTGCTACTGTATAACAAGGATGCCCCATCCTCCAGCTTTGTGTAACATGGATCTCAGTTCCTTTCCCTCTCACTAGCAGTGTCATCAGAGTACAGATTTCTACTAACAATCTGTTCATGGCAATTTAGGCTTTCTCTAATTAATATGCTCCTCAAAAACCCTTCCAGCTTTTGCCTACTACCTGGTTCCAAAGCCACACTCATATTTTTTAGTATTTGTTATGGAAGCACCCAACTGCAAGATACCAAAATCTGTTATGAAGTAACATTGTCAATATTTGCAGAAGATGACTGCCTACTCATAATATTCAAGTGAATCTATAAACTATTCCAAAAGTTGCTGGTTATAAGATCAATATACAAAAATCAATAGCAGGCCCTTGTTCTAGCTACAACCCATGTTAAAATGTAATAATAGAAACACCTATTATGGTATTTAACTTATTATATTGTAATTATTTGCTTTACCGATGTCTCCTCCATAGGTGCAAAGTTCCTTAAGGGAAGAGAGTATCTGATTTATATTTGTAACCCCAATATCTAGCATACATCCATGTGTTCAATGAACATTTATTGAATGAATTATCAATCATCACTGGATCCTTAGTATCATTCACAGATACTTCCCCTTGAGAAAAGAATTAAAATTTAGTTGCACATTTTAAAAACTATTATAGTAACTCTCCAGATTTTTAGTCATCAAAGCGAAAAGTCCCAGGCCCAAATGAGGAAATGCCATTCTTCACTTTTCACTTGTTCGGACTGGTAAAGATTTAAATGTTTGGTAATGTCAAGGGTGAAGGTGAACTCACTGGTGTATTCTTTTAACTGTTGACTGAAGTAAAAGATGGCATATCCCTCTTGGGAGAAAAATCTAATAATATCTAATACAATTTAACATGCCTCAACTAACCGAGTCTGTATCTTGGAATTTATTCTACAGATATTTACAAATGTTTGCAAAGCTTATATACAAGATTATGTACATAGCACTCTTAGCAATAGAAGAATGGAACTTAAATTCATCAATAGAGAATTATTTAAATAAATTATGGCACATCCATATAATGAAATCTTATGCAGTTGTTAGGATAGCATGTAATTGCACATAGACTGATCTCTAAGATGTATTAAGTGGAAAAAGCAGAGTGTCCCCATGTTTATTACTTTAGTAGAAATATTTGGGGAGGATACCAGGACAGTATTGTCTCTGAGTACAGGGACTGAGCACCTCAAAGGACAACCTAATATTCTCTACATATCCCTTTGTATTTTATGTATTTATTTATTGACATTAAAATTGAAATATTTTGTCCATAAAATCCTTCATTCATTCCTTATTTACTAAAAGATAAGTTTTTAAAAATGAGACTGACATCACCATTTCTAGAACTTCTCAATTACAGGGTATTTCTCTGTCTTATGTCTACTGTTAGGAATAATTCTGTACCTCAGGTTCTTAAATAGTACTTTAAAGACTGATCGGTGGCACAAATATTTTACAGAACATATTTTATTTAATTTTTTATTAAATGTTGTCTATTATTCAGAGACTTGGGCACTAAGCCCTAGGTAAGTGTCCAGAAAATTATATTGTAGTGATCGAAGTGAATGGCTGGTAAGAACGTGGCAGGTATTTTGCAACCAAGAGCTGCATGGAAATTAATGGTTGGGTTCAAATATGATGACTGAACACAGAACCAAAATGACTCAATGGCATGATTTTTAAAAATTAATGTATTTTAGGTAGCAATAAGCTGCAACTATATAAATCAATCTTTAACAAATATTGCACACCTGAAAAATCTTAATAGCCTTTGTATATTGTTTTACTATTATGGAGACAAAACTTTCTGACTGGAATGAAGAAATGCTGATTATGTAAAATAGGAACATTTTTTCTTCTGTAAAAAGTCTAATTTGGGGGCACGTGGGTGGCTTAGTCATTAAGCGTCTGCCTCCGGCTCAGGTCATGATCCCAGGGTCCTGGGATCGAGCCCCACATCGGGCTCCCTGCTCAGCGGGAAGCCTGCTTCTCCCTCTCCCACTCCCCCTGCTTGTGTTCCCTCTCTCACTGTCTCTCTCTATCAAATAAAATCTTAAAAAAAAAAAGTCTAATTTTATTATTAATTTTTTTGTTGAAGTACAGTTGACACACAATGTTACATTAGTTTCAGGTGTACAACATATTGATTCAACAATTCTATACCTTTATGCTACGTTTACCACAAGTGTGGCTACAATCTGTCATCATATAACCCTATTATAATACCATTGACTACAATCCCTATGCTTTACCTTTCACCCCTGTGATGAATGCATTCCATAACTGGAAGCCTGTACCTCCCACTCCCCTTCACTCATTTTACCCCTCCTCCCCCCACCGTCCTCTCTTCTGGCAACCACCAGTTCTTTTAAAAAAAAAAAAAAGAATTTTTTGGCATTGCTGCAACTTCTGTCCTTATTGTGAATTAATTAAATGAGGGCTCTTTCAAGTTTAGTAATTTGAAAATTTATTAAAAGAAAAAAACCCCCACAAATGTAGGCTTAATTTACTATTTAAAACTTTATTCTAAAAAGGTACAAAACTCCTATTTTACTTGTTATGGCTATTAAATAAAGCATGTAAGAAAGCTACAGAGCACAGTTATAAAAACATGGGCTTTTCAGTCATACCAGAATTCAAATCCTAGTTCTTTCACTCGCTATGTGATAATGGGAAAGTTACTGCACCCCTCTGAGCCTTATTTCTTAAAAGTATAAGATGGGAATAATATGGATTACATGTAACATTTTACAAAGTTGTTATATTAATAGAAAAACCATGTATAAAACCCTTAGCACAGGGCACCTGGGGGGTTCAGTTGGTTAAGTGTCTGCCTTCAGCTCAGGTCATGATCTCAGGGTCCTGGGATTGAGCCCCGAGATGGGCTCAGCAGGGAGCCTATTTCTCCCTCTCCCTCTGCCCGCTTTTGCTCTTTCTCTCTCAAATAAATAAAAAGTAAAATCTAAAAAAATAAAACACTTAGCACAATACTGACCCATAGTAAGATTTTTAGGGCAGCTCTCACTATTATTATTACTCTTTAATTATCCAGCAGAGATGGGTAATAAGATGTACTACACATCTCTTTTGAGTTTTCCAGATAGAGCTTCATTTATTAGACAAATGCTTCTGTACATACCAAATTTAAAACACCACCATTTTGCAGTCCTGGGGCAGGGTAACACATTTCATTGCTACCTTAAGAGATGTCAATGAATATAAAATAACTTCATTGGTTCCTAGAAATAATAATTCTGTCTAGATTATCACATTTTATAGTCTCAATATGCTGAGTATAGGCACAGTAAATTTGGAATATTGTATTCAGTTGTGAGTACAGTTGAAGAGACAATGCCTGTATGATAGGTGTGACAAAAGAACAACCAGGATAGTGAGGAACATGAAAACTACAACACATAAAAAACAGTTTAAGAAACTGTCTCTATTTCATTTAGAGAAGATTTGAGGTAATAAAATATTTTCAAATATTTTAAGTGTGTCACGCGATGAAGTATACAAGTTAATTCTGTATTGCATCAGAGAACAAAATTAGAAACAAATCTGTTGAATTACTTAGATTAAACATTAATATAAAGAACTTTCTGGGGCGCCTGGGTGGCTCAGTTGGTTAAGCGACTGCCTTCGGCTCAGGTCATGATCCTGGAGTCCCGGGATCGAGTCCCACGTCGGGCTCCCTGCTGAGCAGGGAGTCTGCCTCTCTCTCTGACCCTCCCCCCTCTCATGCTCTCTATCTCATTCTCTCTCTCAAATAAATAAATAAAATCTTAAAAAAAGAAAGAAAGAAAGAAAGAAAGAAAGAAAGAAAGAAAGAAAGAAAAAGAAAGAAAGAAAGAAAGAAAGAAAGAAAGAAAGAAAGAAAGAAAGAAAGAAAGAAAGAAAGAAAGAAAGAAAGAAAGAAAGAAAGAAAGAAAAGAAAGAACGAACGAACTTTCTGGGGCACCTGGGTGGCTCAGTGGGTTAAGTGTCTGCCTTCGGCTCAGGCTGTGATCTCAGGGTGCTTGGATCGAGCCCTGCATCGGGCTCCCTGCTCAGCAGGGAGTCTGCTTCTCCCTCTCCCTCTGCGGCTCCCTCTGCCTGTGCTTGCTCTCTCTCTCTCTCTCTCAAATAAATAAATAAGATCTTTAAAAGAAATAAAGAACTTTCTAATAAATCACAGTATTTTCAATGATAATGCATAGTTTTGTGAAGTAGTGAGCCCTTTAAATTATATAATCTGTATTCAAATTGTGTTTGATACTGTCAAAATGATGGAAAAGTGATTTATGGCTAGTTGGGAACTTTGACTATGTAACTGCCAAGGCTTATTTCAATTCCAGATTCTATGATCTAAACTAAACAATAAGGCAAATAGGATTATGTATATATAATTAAATAAGAACTATTAGCACTTAAACATGAAAAAATATGCTTTATCCATCTGTTACTTTTCTTTCAATAAGAAGAAAATAATAATAAAAATGTATGATATATGTACAATGGACTTATTGGTACATCAACTTCTCAAATTAATCACTATAATAATCCCACTATAAATACAGAGATTTAAAAAAAAAATCAGTGTGCATTAACTTTAACCTTTTTAAAAAGAAATGGAGGAAAATGCACTGTGAACATTTTTAAATTACCAGAGTTATATTTTCAGATATACTTGCTTCATTTATTTCAAGTTCAGATCAACATTTGAATTCAAATTAAAACTTAAGGTATTTCCTTTCTAATTTACTTTAACTCTTATAGAAAGTTATATATTTAGTATCAGAATCGGCAAACCCATGAAATCATTATGCACAATAGAAAACTCTAATCAGGAAGAACAAAATGTGTATGCTATACTAACCAATTAGAAGAACTGTTCCAACAGCCAAACCTCCACCTGGAAATGAAACAAAACCAAGAAGAAAATTAATCTACCCTTTCATACACATTATCTTTAGCATAAAAGTTAAGCTTTATCAAGGACAGCAACTTGACTAACTTTAAAATTGCAGATGAGAACAACATTTTAATTACCTTTGCAATACTTTGCTTAAGGTGCTATTATGAAATAATTACATATTATATGTAATTATACACTACACATTACAATTACTTTCATAATATACTGTACTATCCTCCCTTCTCCTGTGATAGGACCATGCAGCATTCAACATAACTGTGGTTATGTGTTCTAATAATGTTATATTTAGTACTTGTTAATAAATTAACTCAATAGCCAAGACCTAAATGTTCACAGTAACTTAATACTACAGAAGTACAACATAGGAAAGGTTATTATAATAGAAATTCCACTTTAATATTTACACTCAAATTTAATGTCTTGGGGGAGGAAAAACCTGATAATTAAAAGTAATTCTTTTTTTCAATATGAATAATATACACAAAGACTGGACATACTCTTAAATACATTTAGAATTTAAAATAAACAATGTTTTCATAATTTCAAACAAAAAAGTCACAATCACAAAATACATTTTTAATAATAGCAGAAAATGTTCTTTTGAATATCTGAATTAGGGCAATACAGTTATGAGCATATAACTCAAATAGTGGTTCAATAAAAATCAATTTAAAATCAAATTGTAGAAAACGAGAACTACACTAGAAAGACATTTGAGTACAAATATTTTGTGCAACATTTGTAAAAACACTTGTAAAAGTATTACTATTTGTAATTGTTATAAATTACACTAGCAAATTCACTTAAAAAAGAATAAAATATGTATATCAAAGAATGAAATGTATTTAAAGTAATTTAAAAAGAAAGTACTCAAAATTGTTGGATAATTGAAGACAATCCTACCAGTGTCTTTTGGTTTTGGTGCATAAAACTGTGAAAGAAACATTTAGAATACCAATAAAGAACTTTTCCTCCAACAAATTTTGTAGTGGCAAACATTATATAGAAAAACTTAGTATGAAAAGTTCCTTTGATAGTGTTTACTTTTTGCCTTGCAAATATGCATAAATGTTATATTTCAAAGAGTTTGAAATTTGGTAACATATATGAACATAGAATACAATGCAAAATTTGGTGACTTTATGACTCTGAATAGAATATTTCAAATTGCTAGAGAAGATTTTAAGAAGAAACTAGTACTTTATGTATTTTTATGTTTAGGTGGATTTGTTATAGGACTAAATATATATTTTAATTTCACATTTAGATAGGTTCTTTCAATATAGCATTTAAAGCCATACCAGACTACACAGGATAACTTCAAATTTTGTTCTAACTAAGAGATTCACATAAACTGAAATATATAGGACGATAACAACCATAAAGGATCTGAGCAAAAAGATTTTCTCTGAGATAAGATTAGGTTAAATGTCTACTTTTACAGTGTGTGCTATATATAGACCACTACTAATTTTTTAATCCATTTTGAGCACTTTTTTTATTAATGCATTTTGAGCCTTTTAAATTACTTTCCAGTTCCTTATTTCTCTTTTACATGCAAAAACAAGCATTTAAATACCTAATCACCATTCTGTGTATATTTAAGACAAACTAATAGATGTACATAACAGATACTGCAGTGTCTAGTCTAGAGCAGGTACTATTAAAAAGTTACCTGGTTTTCTTTCCTTAACCTATTTCTTATAGGAAGACTTAGATTTCTTATCTAGACATCTCTGGGTCTATGTTCATGTAGCCTGAAATTAAGAATTTATGTAAGACCTACAACTGGAATAGTTAGATACAGAATTTTTTTTGTGAATGTCATTCACAGTGGGACTATTAAGAACAGATCCAGGAATAGTTTCCCAATTAAAGGAAATGATACCTAGCTCACGTGTCTGGCTCAGAGAGGTACTCAGTAAGAGCCGTTACCATTCTGGCTTATTTTTCATTAAAGATATACCATTATTTGATAAATAGGGATCACTATAATAGTAAGAGTAAGACTACTTCCCATTGATGAACTAGTTAAGCAAAGCATTATACAAATGAGAGAACACTAAAAAGGTAATTTTCTGTCAGAATTATACAAATAATCCAGTTTCAGATAATTCAGGAAATGCCACCTAATTAAATTTTAAATCTTATGTACATTAAATTTCTAATGTTTGGAAAATTTGAACATTACTTAAAACAAATGAGGACAAAACTTTAATCAGACATCTGAATATTCTATCAGGACTTCTCTTACAAAAAGGCAATTATCTTTTCTTCTAAAGGGCTCTACCACGTAAATTCACTAGACTTAAATTTGGATGGCTTAAACAAAGGTTGGTCATTTTGAAGGTTGGTCATGGGGAATAAGATGAAGCCACTTATTAACTATTATAAAAATCAACCTTTTATTCTGTGTATGAGGGAAAATGATTTGACATGTACATATATACACATATATAGCAGCAAAGTTCCTCTATTCTTCCAAATTTCAGGGTGACGAGACCTCACATTTCCCTAAAATACCTCTGTATAAGGTATTTTGATATATCTCACTTGATATACTGAGGTTCTAACTGTATGTTAAGTTTGAATAAGTTTGTAGCCATGTACTCATAAAAATAAAAAGCTTCAGCCACCAACCATGACAGGATATCTTGACATGATACATTCAACCAAAGCTCATTTTAATAGATCTTTAAATTCAGAAATCCATTAGTAATTTTAATTAATTTCAAAAGCAACACAAAGTTCACATTAATAGTTCCCAATTAAAATAGACTATCTTTTCCCATTAGTTCACTAAAATGTTTGGCAGGTAACAGGTAAGGAAGCAATCATCCTATTTCTGTGATGAAACATAAGGAGTAAAAGGGTCTTGTTTATGGTATCCTCTCCTCTTTAATCAGATCTTAGAGAATTCATCAATACATTGAAGTCACTAAGCAAATAAACTCTTGGTTTTACTTATAGATCTCAAGAAGTCGATTTCCAGCTTACTAAAAATACAGGTAGAATAGTTTACCAACACATAAGATTATGAGCTTGAAAGCTTGAAGATTCTTTGCAAGTTTGATATTTTAAAGTGTTAATTTAATCAAAATTTAACATTTTAAGAAATGACACAGCATTTTGTCTTAAACTAGAAAAAAAATCTAATACTTTAGAAAACATTATCAGAAAATTAAGATCTTATTAGGTGACAATTATCTTCTGATTTTAGGATTTTTAAAATATGATGGAAAGGGTTATTTTATTCATGTGAATAGTAACCAAATGATTTTTTAAATTAAAAAAAATTTTTTTACAGTTTTTTTTTTTTTTTTAAATAGGTTCCATGCCCAATGTGGAGCTTGAGCCCATGACTCTGAGATGAAGAATCACATATTCTACCAACTGAGCCAGCCAGGAGCCCCAGAAAATTATATTAAAGGGAGAAAATTCAATCCCCATACACTTCCCAAAGCAAATCTCTAATTAAGCTATTAATTAATTTTGGGTAAGCAAGGTCAAATTAATATATTAGGATATAATGACCCAGAAGTGATACCTTACTTTGTAAGGGCCTCTCCTTTTTCAAAGTTACAGGAAGCAAAAGGGAAAAGAAATAAAAGTCATAAAAGGTAACAGTAATTTATATCATTCCTTTCTATAAAGGAATAGTTTTGTATAAAATTATAGAAGGTCATTTTAGGGAAAACGCAATGTACAAAAAGTTCATATCCCTTCCTTTGTTCATAGCAATGTCCTGAACTACTTAATTAATGCCATACCTCTAATTAAATTGCAATTTATTTCATTAACAAGTCTACTTTTTCTTCTCTCTCTGGGAGGTAGGAAACATCCTGACAACTCTTGATTATCACAACTATTAGCTGGGCAAATACAGGAAACAAAATAGAAAAAGCTATTAACAGTGAGAATGGTTCTGTAGATTAAATTACATCAAACAATTTTATATATTGATATAAATAAACTACATTTTCCTTAAATATATAGCCATCAGTTGCTAAACTATCATAATCATAAAAATAAGGATTATTTTTAATATATAGTCCAAACTCAATGTACATCCCACATTCTAATTAAGATACAGTGGAGCAAAGGAAATAAGCCCACCAGTATTTACTTTTTGACATTAGCCTTGAAAATGGCAGCTACCATCAAGCTTCTTTGGAGTATTCTTCTGGGACTATTCTTTATCCCAAATCCCTATCTTCCCATTCACTTGACTGTCAAAATTGAGTAAATTCCAAACAGCACATAAAATAAGCCAGTCAAACCTCAGAAATCACCCTTCCTTAAAGTACCTTTTTGAAGGATGAGGCTGGGGGAGAATTCCCCGTTAGACAATATGATCCTAAGATGAGTTACACCTTTTACCCTAGAAAAAAAGAAATTCTGCCAGAATCCCTTATTTACTGTAAACTTTTTGGCGATTCCTAGAAGAAGGGAATTGAAATATTTATATATAGTGTCCTCATATAACAACATAAGTGTCCTGGAAGGACAGGGTTGAGAAGCTAGGTTAGAAAACTTAGAAGTTGAAAAATTCCAATGTGGTCAACTTGGGAAATGTATATCAATATTTAACTAAATTTAAGTTGTCAGAACAAAAGTTTTTGATATGATTAGATCATGTTTAAAAGATGCTGATATAGGGAATTGTCAAATTCATGAAGCACTTGGGAGTAGGAATGGAAATAGTAGCATATCTTCAAATGACCAACATTCAATTTGCCTATATATTTAAAAATATACTTAAATATATTTTGAATCTATGCTTAAAATTACATTGACATCACAGTGGTAGTAAAATATCACTGCACTGCATGGCAGTGACAATACAATATTTACTTGTTTTACAGTAACCACAGAATAGATTTAGGCAACAATCACAATGTCATAGTATAGTTTCACCATTCTGATATCATAACATCCTATTATCATTATATCTTGTCACAATATGGTTATATTAGGCTTGTCACAATCTGAGTCCAATATTTTAGAATAACAAGATAATCTGAATTACTTATATTTATGTGTATACACATTAGCAGCCAAATGTTTCACTTCCAAATAATGTTTTAATGAAAAACGAATGGATTTGCTCTACAGAGCCACACAAAATAAAAAATAATACAAAAATGCCATTAAGAACTTAACAACTAAAATACTTCTGGACATATTTATTATTCCAAATGTACTAACTCCTATTATAACAACCTCTTCTGTGCACTTTGAGAGTTAACTGTATACATGAAAAACATATTTCAAAATATCCCCAAACTGATACCTATTCCAATTATCTTAAACAAACACCAATTTTTAGCATAAGCTTGTTACAAATACTAGTGTCCCTCACAAGGAAATCTGGAATATTTTTATATTACAGTTCATGTTTATATCACTGTAGAAACACTCAGGTGCTTTAGGTTAGCTTTTTGGTGGGTGCTTGAAGAGACTTAAATTCATTAGTCTTAGGTTTGATAAATGCTTAAAGCCACTTCAAAAGAGTTCTCAAAAATTTGAAACAGCTGTAGCATAGTGCAGAACACTAAATTTGAAGCCTAAAGATCAGCCTACACTGTCTCTAGCGTTATGATTCTGTTCATGTCACTGTACCTAAGTCTGCTTCTAGAGCTCACACATAAGTCATCCTACCTCTTTCAATATCTCTTATCCTTTTTTCTACACATTTCTCTTCCAATCAAGAACTTAATGAGAATCAACTACATGCCAGGAATTGTGCTAGGCAAATTTTGTTATTCTAATAAGAAACTGAAGGTATAATGTCAGAAATGTGACCTTTTCGTTTGAAGAGATTCAGGATCAAGTGAATGAAATTACATATCCCCACTGAATTGGGGGTGGGGGGGGGCAAGGTAAAGACTAGGAACAGCTTCCAAACTTTAAGTTCAAATATGGGATGACACCAAGTAAAGCTCAACAGGGAAAAAAACTGGGATAAATATTTGTTAACTAGATATTTTGGATCATTTGTTTTCAGTACCATGCAATTTAGGAAAGCAAGACTTGAAACAATTAAGTGAAAATACTTAAATTTGTGTAGAAATAACCAGGATCCAGTTAAGAACATGACATAACAGAGGCAAGAAGCTGTGCTCTTTCTCACAGGTCGCTTGCCTTGTCAATTTCCTTTGCACTAAAACTATATGAAAAGTGTACCTTGAGGGGCAAAAATACAGAGAGAAATTTCAAGTATAGTACAAGAACAAGCAATGGCATTTGTAATATTTTATGAAAGTGTACAAGACTTAACTGACACATATCACACACTATATAGAAATTATGAAATATAAACACAGACCAATTTTAATGAAGCAACATTCTGATAGTAATTAACTAATTTACAAGCTCTATTAACACAGCAGCTCTGTCCTACCAATCTAATGTGGTCAATCTTTGCAACATAACAGTTACGAAACAAGCTATTCTTCAGCAGGCTTCTCATGAAAAATTGCAGAGATTATACAGGAAAGCCTAAGAACTGGACTTCTTTTGTCTCATTAAAATGTGAATTAACTTTAAACATATCGTTTGCAATGTAACTCTAGGAGGCAAAATATACAGAGAAAAAATTTAACAAAATATATACACATATATTTAACGCAGATACTAGTATGACCATCAGTATCAACAACAGTCTTTCACTACTTTGTACCCACATAATTCTTTAACATCCATTCTCTTAAAGCCAATAGAGTTTGTTTGAAGATTCAGAACCAGGAAATAAGCAGCCTGGCGGTGAAAGAGGGGAAGTTATTTTTTTTCAGCATTTTCTAATGAAGCCCATCTCTCACAATGATACAAACTTTTGTAGGTTAGGCGAAACCACGAGCTACCTGGGGTTGGCAGAAGGGTGCAATCAGAGACCAGGAGGTGATCCTGGAGTTGAAGGCCAAACCGTCTCCATATATTAATGATTCCCCCTTACTAGGTAGTATTTCTAGATAAAAGCATGTAGGGATCCCGTTGTAACCTAGAAAAGGCTGGTGGGCCAGAACCACAGTCGAAAGTGGGAGCAGTAACAGCATTTAGGAGTCTCCATGCAACCTTTCCTCCCCTCCATCTCTATCAGACCGGACTATCCTCTCCAAGTCCGAAGGCTGAGGGGTCAAAGAGAAATATGCGGTTAGGGTGGCTTCCCTGGCAGGTGCCCTCCCTAAGTTTTCCCTCTGTTGAGCCCACATCTCCGTTCTGAACCGACCTAGGAGCTGGTCCAGGGCTGGGAGCCCGGTAGATACCAGCAGCTGTCCATTCCGCACCGATGGTCGTGTGCCCGCGATGGACACCAGTCGAGAACAGCCGCTGTCGGTACCGCTTGCTCTAGGACCCTTCCTCTGGAAACTGGTGACGTTGTTCTTGCTGGTTGCAGCCACTATAGATCCAGTACTCCCAACGCCGGTGCCGCAGGTCGCCACTGCCGCCATCTTGGAGCTTCCCGCGTTGACCCAATAGGAACTCTGGGAACTCAAGCAGCAGGCCTGTCAGAGCCAGCCCCAAACACCCGCCTCCTTGCCCACTATCACCGCTCCGGTGGCCAATAGGATTGAGAGCTCTCCTTCCAATCAACCAATCGCAAGGAGTATTGCTGAAAAGTGCGCTCTGCGCGGGGACGGCGGACTTCTGCTGGGCCCAGGTGAGAAAGGCCCACCTGAGTCTTGGGTGAGAGTGTTGCTTGGTTCTTTGGGGCTAGAGGTGGGTAATATCATTTAACATTTTTCTCGTTTTGGGTGTCTTCATTAACGCAGAGTTAAAAAAGAGGCCAGTGGAGCGCTATATCCAGTAACTACCAGTGGGAACTTGCACCTTCCTTCGCTCCTTAGGAAAAAGGAAAGATACTTTCCCCCGCCCCTTTCTTTTCTGATTTCTGAGAGAAAATTCATTCCGCCCTTACCATCAGGTTTTTTGTTTGTTTGTTTGTTTTGTTTTTTTGTTTTTCTCGGAATGGTTGTGTTATATTGAAGAAATTGGAACTCTTAATGAGTTGCTTGCTGAGCATCTGGGCACAGTTAGACAGTTCCAGTGGCAGGCAGGTGGGTTGGATTTAGACCTTAAGAGGGAAAACTCTTGAGCTTTGAGGCGATTTGGTTTTCCTGTCTCAAACAGCGCATGACAAAATGTACTTCTCTGACAAGTCCCCGTGAGAAGCTTTCGTTAATTTTAATTAGTGCTTCTGGAAGTCTTGGGGCGCGTTTCCGTAAGTAGTGTGAATGACAAGTGTTACTCTGACAACCTTGTTCACACATTTAATTGTCATTTGCTGTTAAGGCAGCTGCAAAGAACAGAAAATACTTTAGGTCTCTTTCCCCAAAAAACTGGTATTAGATGTGTATGTACTTTATTTTCCTAGTGATTTGTGAACTCTGAATTGAAAGCTTTTTTATTAGCATAGGGATTTTATGTGCGGAAAAAACATGTCATTTAGAGCTGTGTCTTTGGATTTACAACTTTTTTCAAAAGTGAGCTGGGTGGAGGAGTAAGTGATTTTTAAAGGTATTCATGATTGACAAATGTCTAAACTAAAAAAAACCTCCCGAATCGTGCCTGCGCTACTGAATTATTGGTTTTGACAGTGATCTATGATACCTCATTGAAATTCTTGCCAGTGAATTGTTTTAAATCTCAGTGACTTGTTAAAACTTTTTGGCTGATTCTGTTTGATAAATTGCAATTAGTTTTGTGAAATAGTGGCTGGTGGGTTTTGTTTTTGTATTTAGAGTAAAATCTTAAGAAAGTAAAACAAACCACCTTACTATTTAGCAGTGTACCAACTGGAAAGCTTGATCAAGGTTTAGATGCTTTCATTTAGAACCTTTCCTCAGTATAAATTTTTAATCTAAATTATTCAATAAATAGCTGTTGAGTGCTTACTGTTTGCTTAGACCTAATGTGTCACTTTAGGCCTATAAAGTAAAAATGTTCTCATTTGGGGGAGACAAGATTAACACATAGAAAACAGCATAGCGCTTAAAGTGAACACATTGGACAGTATGTGCTAATTTTTTCCTGTAGTATATAAGGGCTGAGAAGATCAAAACAAAAAGGGACAAAACAGTCTAATTTCAAATGGAAACTTCTTGGATATTTTTGCTGCTTGGAAAAATTTGAAATAATAATGAACTTTTATAGGCTTTTTTACTACATATTCCCTTGTTTCCTCTCCCTTTACTTCATCCTTTAGTTTTCTAGAAGTGGTGGTATGATGCTTTGTTTATGATATTACTAGAACTGAAAAATTTTTTTTCAACTTTATAATTCAGAAAGCATGCCATATATGCACACCAAGGCATTCTTGAAATGAAGATGTATCTTGCGTATAACATTATCATAGAATAAATTTATTTAATCTGTCTTAATTTTTTTACAAAGACAAAACTTTTGCCTTCAAAGCAAATAATGCCAAATACTTGGATTTACGAGTATGTAGAGTTGAGTATAAAACATTGGAATAAATGAGGTATTTGTGGAAAGGGTATGTTTAGGTGTGGTGTTAATAATGATTAAAAACAACTTAATAATTAACAATTATTTATTGAGCACATACTAAATCCCAGGGAGTATGCTAAGCATTCAGGTTATAGGAGAAAGAATACTTAGTCTCGTTTTTCCTTGAGTTCATAGTTGGGGGAGGTAGGTGGGTAAATAGGATAATAAAGTATATTATAAGTGCTATGGAGGACAAATGCAGAATACCTAACTTGGACTGAGAGAAAGGAGAGGAGCCTTGGGAAGCTTCTCCTGAGGGGGAAGTTTAACCTGTGTGATGAAGGAAGTGTAAAAGATGAGGGCATAATAGACCGTGAAAGCCATTACAGAGAACAGGAGACTATTCCTTCAAATCTGCTCTCACTGCTTCTGTGCAAGTAGTTCTCATGATTTACACATAGTGCTAAGAAGAGACTGGAGAAGTTAGACAAAGGTCTAATTGATTTTTTTTTTTTTTAAGGTTGCGGCTCTTGTTTTTTTTGTAAAAATAATAGGAAATGGGAAATTATTGAAAAATTTTAAATAAAGCAACAACATAACGATCATATTTGATTGTTAGGTTTTGGCTAAGAGTATACCAGAAGAGAATGGATTGGCTGACTGTGGTTGGGATAAAAAGCATGGAATGAATTAAGAGATTACTATGAGGAGTACAATTGATGTGACCAAGGAAAGTTGACAGGAGGAATCAGAGATGACTAACAGATTTCTGAGCAGGTTTGTGGATGGCAGAGGATAAAGAATGAAGGAAAACAGCAAAATTTTGTAGTTATGGTGTTGGTTGTTTTAGGGAATGGGAGATCATAAAATGAGTTTTTGAAATCTGTTTTGAATATGTTTAATTGGAGGTACCCTAGGAGCATCCAAGTAGAGATGTCCAATAATACTGGGCTACGTGAGAGAGGGATCTCTAGATGAAACGTACAGATTTGAAATTAATTAGCGTATGATGGGAGTTTACCCCAAGGGATGGATAAACTCACCAAGGAAATGTATACTTTAAAATGAGAAGAAAAAAGGACCAAGAATAAACTTTGGGGAACATAACATTTAAAACCTTGGCAGAGAGAAAGAAAGTAAAATAAGAATTGGAAAGTGTTTATTTAGTAATACTGTTTCACAGGCTTTGTTAAAGGAATATTTGATGGAGTAGTAAACTGAAAAGTCAAATAATTGTATTTAGAATTGAATGGCAAGTGAAGTTGAATATTCCATAAAAGTAGACCACTTTACATTTTAGAAAGCTTTGCTATGAAGGGGGATAGAGAGATGACAAACGCTTAAGAGAGGAGTTTTGTTGTTAAAGAGAGAAAACAAGGCACTGGAAAATAATTCTAGACAATTGTTAAAGAAAAGGACCTAAATGAGATTGAAGGAATGTCAGTCATAGCACAGGAGAAGGATCAGTATTTGAAAGGCTGGGGGGACAATTCAATGGCTAAACGGTGTAAATGAAAATAAGCTCTTTTCCCTCCTTTCTGCCATTAACTTGTGTAGTCCTTAAGACCATTTTCTCTTTTTAGTCCATATCCTTACTTTTATCCAGTCCGAGGACCTCAGTTACCATTTATATATCAATGACGAACATGTATAGTCCAGGTCACTTCTCTGACCTCCAGAATTATAAATTCAGATATTTACTTTACCAGTTTCTTGAAATTCTTAGTGGGGCTTCAAACTCATAATGCCGCAGACTGAACTTCCTCTTGTTTTGTATCTCAGTAAATGATAGGACCATTTTCAGAATTAGTTGCCTAAGACAAGGAACCTCACTACCCTCAGGTCCTCTCTCAAGCATCATTCTTCCATGTCCGTTACATTACCAAGACCTATGGAGTTTACTTCTTAATAGCTTTCTAATCCATTCTGAGACTATAGCCCTCATCTTAGTTCACCTGCAGTATATTCGTCATTCAAGAGCCATCCTAATCCTTTCAAAATAGAGGTCTGATAATATAAAAACAATACGTAGTAAGCACTTGCATGTGGTTCCCTCCATTTGCCTCTCTGGCCACATCACTGTAAATTTCCTCTCTGCACTCTAGCATTTATTCATTCTCCTGTACTCTAGCATTTACTTATTCTCTCATGTTCTCTTCCTCCAAAAGGCCGCTAGTTAGCTTCTGCTTATCCTTCAGATCTCACTTCAACCTACACATTCTCAGTAAAGCCATCTCTCCTTGCTATCAAGATGAAATCAGCTCCAGGGCACCTGGGTAGCTCAGCTGGTTGAGTGCCTGACTCTTGATTTCGGCTCAGGTCATGATCTCAGGATTGTGAGATTGAGCCCTGTGTCAGGCTCCACGTCTAGCATGGAGCTTAAGATTCTCTTCCCTCTCCCTTTGCCCCTCCTGCCCCACACGTGTGCACACTTGCTCCCTCTCTCTCTCAAAAAAAAAAAAAAAAAAAGAAAAGAAATCAGCTCCTTTGTATCAACAACGAATGAGTGGAATTGGAAATTAAAAACACAATGTCATTTACATTAGTATCCAAAAAAATTAAATATTTAGGCATAAATCTAAAAAAAGATATGTACAAGATCTGTATGAGGAAAAATACAAAATACAAAATTCTGATGAACATAATCGAAGACTAAATAAATGGAAAGATATTCCATGTTTATGGATAGGAGACTCAGTGTCAAGATGTCAGTCTTCCCAAATTGATCTATAGATTGAAATGCCATCCCAATCAAAATCCCAGGAAGCTATTTTATGAATATTGACAAGCTGATTTTGAAGTTTATATGGAGAGGCAAAAGACCCAGAATAGCAAACACAATATTGAAGGAGAAGAACAAAGTTGGAGAACTGAAACTACCTGACTTCAAGACTTACTTAAAGCCACAGTAATTAAGACAGTGTGGTATTGGTAAAAGAATAGACAAATAGATCAGTGGAACATAATAGAGTACCCAGAAATAGACTCACATAATCTACTGATCTTTGACAAATGACTGAAGACAACACAATGAAGCAAAGACAGTCTTTTCAGCAAATGGTGCTGGAACAACATACACATGGCAAAGAAAAAAAAGAGAGAGAATCTAGGCATAGACCTTACGTCCTTCACAGAAATTGACTCTAGTGGACCACGTAGCTAAACATAAAATGCCAAACTATAAAACTCCTAGAAGATCACATAGGAGAAAACCTAGAGAACCTTGGGTATCTGATGCTTTTTTAGATACAATACCAAAGATATGATCC